TGAATAGATTGGATAATTGAATAAATATTTGATATCTATTTATGTATTTGTTTATTTGATGTCTCCATTGGGTTCAGCCCACAGTTAAGTGACTCCAAAGCCAAAGCAGCAGGATAGAAGGACATGGCAGATGACAGCTGCTCACCTCATGGAAGCCAGGAAGCAGAGAGCAAATGGAGACCCGGGGAGGGAGCTATACCCCCCCGAGGTACCCACCTCCTAACAGCACTTGGAGCTGTGAACTCATCCTAGATCAATGTTCCCTTCGGTACAATGCCCCCATAATCCAATCACCTTTCAAAGCCCACCCCCACAGGATACTTTACTGGGACACTGATCTAGATCTAAACTATAATACTAATCCTAAGTCTGATTTGTGATTCATTCATATGGAGGCACTTTGTGCTGGGCACTGTTTCTCATGTTGGGAATGCAGGGTATAGAGTTGAACAAGAGAAAGGAGGGTCACATCTTCTCAGAATTTACATTCTTAAATTCTCACATTGCAAAGGAACAAGGTAAATATATACTAAAAGGTGATATAGGTGGATGGGAGACCACCTTAAGAGTGATCAAAGAGGGCCAGGGATATAGCTTAGTGGCATAAGTGCCTGGCTGGCAAACACAAGGTCCTGAGTTCAGTCCCAGTATAGGGGTGGGAGGAGGTCACAGAAAGCTTCTGTGAGGTGATACCTGAGAATCTTCAGGAAAGGAACTAGGAATTGTGAATTTCCAGGGCCTCAGGCAGGAAGATTACAAATTTTGAGTTCTGCCTGCATAACTTTGCATGGCCCTGTCTCAAAACTTAAAAAAGTTTTAGAAGGATTAGGATATAACTTGGTGCTAGAGCACCCAGTACCACACACAAGCACACACGCCACACACACTATAGGGCTTGGAGTGCTCATCTGAAAGCACAGCACACAGGCGAGTGCATTTGGAGACTCACTATTGAGAACAATTGGGTCAGGACACAAGGATAGTTAGAGGTTAGAAGCCTTCAAGGCCATAGTAAGGGCTTTGGATTTAATCCTGGATAATGGGGAGCAATAAAGTTTAAAATAGAATATGTATTGATTTCCTTGTTCAAGAGATCACTTTCCATTTAAAAAATGGATTTCAGGGGTCAAGGTCACTAAATAAGCTATGATAGGTGCTAGAGGTTAAGCTAGGGAGATCAGCTGTAATTATGTGGAGTTAGTGGATGAGAAATACATTTAGAAGGGATTGCTAATAAGTGCTGGCATTAATGATAGTAAGTACTATTTACTGAGTTCTTACTGTATGTCAGACACTAATATGTGCTTCAGCAACAACTTTTAACTTAAACTGCCTAACACAGTCGAGGCTGTATTATCTTTGCTTTAAATGCAGGTTAGAGATGTTATTTTCTTAGTCCAGAACTGAAGCAGAACTTGATTCAAATTCATCCATTTGAACCATGAAACCAGTAGTCTTAAATTATATATCAAATATATTTGTATACTTTTTAAAATAATATTTGAGGCTGGGGAAACAGCTCAGCAGTCTAAGCACCTTCCTAGAAAACACAAGGACCCGAGCTGGATCCTTAGTACTATGTGCCCTGCCAGCCCCAAAACTGGGCATGGTGGCACATGCCTGTAATCCCAGAGCTGGGGAGGCTGAGACAATAGGATCACCACGATTCTGAACTTTGTAGCGACACTACCAGATAGATAGATAGATAGATAGATAGATAGATAGATAGATAGATAGATAGATAGATACCTTAAAATGATTTTAAAGGCAGGACTGGTTGCTGTAGGGATAACTGAGGGTCATAAATAGCCATGCTTGCGCTACAAAGGTGATCAAAGAGTCTAGAGTCTTGAACCCACCTGAAAGTTGGCTAAGTATGCCTGCTTTTTTGGTGATTCTTTATACTATTAAAAGTGTTTATGTGATTTCCATATTCAAGTTTTTTTCTATAGAGTTCCAGTAATTATTTTGTGGTTAATGTCAACATTTGGCTGAAATGTTAAATGTATCTAATGACTACTAGAAATGGATTATTGATTTTTTTTTCTGCATTGGGTGATAATGGAAACAGAATGTCTATGATGTAAAAGTATAATGGAAGACTAGCCCTTCAAAACATTAACTTCTGGTTGCTTCCCCCTCCTTCAGACTGTGCAAAATGAATAGACACAAGTCATACAGACTAAATGAAGAAAACCAAGATGACAAATGCTCAGCCGTTAGCTAAAAAAAAAAAAAAAAAAAAAAAAAAAAAAAAAAACTTGAATGAAAACATTCAAGTACACTCTGACAGAGCTTTTGCTATCAGCGATTAGACAAAGCTTGATTTCACTGGGAAAGAGAGAGGTGGGTGTCTAGACAGCATATGGGAGAGGAAACAAAGCCTACAGCAGAGTCTATACTGTTTTTACCAGTCAAGAGGCAAAGCACTGGCTAGAAGCTGAGGCATACCTAGCTGACCATCTTGGCATTGGCAAGTGGGTTCTGCCATTTACCAATCCACCGTTGGTCCAGTTTGACATGATCTTGCCCATGTCCCGAGAATCTCTTAGTATTTCTCCGACCAACCATCCCTTGGGGATAAGCCCTCACTGAGCAGTCCAGGACACTAATTTTGTCCACTTTACAAAGTAGAGGGTAGGGAATTTGGAATTATGGGAGAAGGCTTGGAAACTTGGTGGGGTGATCTTGGGGGCACAAAGGAATCGGTGATTTGGAATCAGTATGACACCATCTACTGAACCAGGATGGCAGAAGAGCGTATTACTTTGCAATGTTAGTAAGTGTTCTGCACTGGCAGAGAACGTTAGAGCAGGAAGGGAATTTAAAGGAGTCCAGGTCCTGCTGTTCCACATAACCGAGAGACCCAGGGGGAAGCAGATAAGCCTAAAAGGAAACCTTATTTTGCTTAGTCAAAACCATAAGAGTAATTTTTTCTTTCACTTTTTGTAACACTTTAGTTTCTAAGACATTTTAAAAAGTCATTCTTAATTCAATCCCCTGTATCAATAAATAATAAAAAATAGTCATTCTGTTTTTTAAAAAGTCTCATAAACACAATTTTTATTATGCAATTTGTAAACAAGACAATCTGTTATCGGTTTTGTTTTGTTTTGTTTTGTTTTTTGTTTGCAGAACTGGGGATTGAACTCGGGCCCTTACACTTGCCAGGCAAGCACTTATTCTACTGAGCTATCTCCCCGGCCCAAACAAGACAATCTGAACAGAAATAATTTATCAGTGTATCCAAGCATTACCTTTGGAAGCAACATATTGCCAGTTCTTTTAGTTTTGAAAGTCAGTACTACATTTATTCTTTGTATTCTTTGAAAAATCTTATAACAGTTCTATCTTTGTGCACTAAATACTGTGCTAAACAAATAGGTACATTGGGGGTTGTAAACCACGAGACCCTGTGTTGTTGGCAGGTTAAGTTCTTACAAGAGCTGCAGGGGCCCAACAAAGTGAGACAAGGCTACCATAGAGGGCAGTTGGATGCGTCTAAGAGGCAGAGCAATGCTGGTCTTTTGTTTGTTTTTTATGTATTTAGTACAGGGTCTGTAGGGTCAGATTGGACTCATAGTGATCCTCCTATTTTCAGCCTCCCAAGCACTGGGATTACAGGTGCACACCACCACACCCAGTCTAAATGCAGGTTTCTGCCTTAACCACCAACCATCCCCTCAGCACAGGGCTTTCAGGAGCTAACAGTGTGTGTATATATGTACAATTTTTATACAAAGTCTCATATTTGTCACAGGGCTGTTTCTACCCAGTTCATATGTAAAGCTACATAAATATCAAAATCTAAGAAATATCTTGGAAAATAGTAAACACCAGTATAAAATTTATGAGTAAAACTTACAAAATAACTTCTTTAAATATGTATTGCCAAACCAACTTATGATAAGAATCTGCCAAGTCTCCTTAACAAACTCTGTAACTGTAGTTAAACTACACAACACAGGCAACCCTGGTTCAAGAGCTTTTTCTTTGGAAATGAATTTCTTTCTAAGTTTTCATCAAATCACAATGGATTTGACAGTCCAGTTGCCAGGTTCTAAGAAGTCCAAAGCCAATAGCTTATAGTGATACTAAAGTTGAATTATTCATTATGTTAAATTAGTTAACGAATTGGGTGTCCTGGTACACACCTCCAATCCCAGCACTCAGGAGGCTGATGCAGGAGGATCACTGTAGGTTGGAGGCCAGCCTAGGGGACAAAGGAAGTTCATGGCCAGCCTACATAGTGAAACCCTATCTCAAAAAAAAAAAAAAAAAAAGTTAATGACTATGAGACATGGTGAGGATGTTTCTTAAAAAAAGAATCATAACCACTCGTAGACAATTTCTTTTCCACAGAGCTGCTATGGGAAGGCTCAGATGAGCCTACAGCTCTCTGAAGCAGAGCAGCAGGACACATTCAGTGTTGTCTAAGTCCACACCGACTTCCCGTGACACATAAGGACTTGCCTTTCTGTGCAGCTGTGCTTGTGTTCGGCTTATTCTTCCAAGGATGCTTCTGTCACTATGTGGAAAGGAGGGCGTTGTGTCCCTCCACTGAGCACTGCGCAGTTGGTGCTCCCACCAACCTCTTTCTTTCCTGTTTCAGGTCTTCGCACTGCCCGCTATTGTAACACCAGCAAAACTCAGAGGATCAGATTTCCCACATGTGTTTTCCTTGGTCTCCTGTTCCCTTTATAGTATTTGTTTTGGGGTCTTTAGAAACTTTTCTTTCTGGAGAAACATTAGTTTTTAGCACCAGTTTATGTATGTCAGAAAGAACTTAGACAGTGGTTTGTTGTTTTGTTTTGTTTTGTTTTTCTTTTTCTTTAGCAGGTAAAAAACTTTCAAATCCTTAGGTGTTGATGGAGCATTCAAGTAAAGTAAAATCTTTAAATCTTTCAAATAAAATCTCCTGTTTCTTCAGAAGCTAGATATTTAATAAACCAAAAAAAGTTTCTTTTAATTATGGTGTTCTCATTAACATTTTATTCTTGTTAACATTTTACATATTGTTTCTGTTCAACCAATGTCAGAACTTCATGAAAAAGTTGCATGGTTGGCTGTGTAATAGGGTAACACAAAGGAAGTTTCTTTTCCAAGGCTTGCATGTGAATAAAATACCTGCAAATCATGAAAAGAAACAAAATACTTTAAAAACAGAAATTTTCACATGGGTCACATCAGTCAGCCACAAGACACAGTCAGCGTTTCCTCCCGCATTCCTCCATTTGTGACCTAGAAAATCTGTGATCCTCATGCCTTTCAGCTCACTGAAACACTTTAGCAAAGGAAGTGAGCTTCATTAATAATGTATCAGTCATCAAAGCATTAAGGAAGCCAGGATAGCCTTGGCCACTGCCCCGGGCTCTAGCCTTCTGGTTTCTCAGGCGCTGCACAGCGGGGAATCGGAAGTGTCAAGCCAGGGTGACCACCAGGGCCAAGTCAAGAGGAAAGGGGAAGGTTCACCTCCAGGAAAAGAAAGCACAGGAAGGGCTGGGGAAGAGACAAAAGTGAGGTAGCCTTCAGGGGCTCCTTGGATGGCTTAAAAGAATGGTTCTAAACCCTAGGTTCACATTTACAATCACCTGGAAAGCTGTTTTAGCATTACCACCCCTAGAGGAAGGGAGTAAAGGTGAGGGGAAGGAGGACGTAAGAGACAGTTACAGAGAGTGGGAATTTAAAATGTTATGTGTATGTATAAAGACACACTGAAACTCACTTTCTTGTAAAATTAATAGGCATTAATAAAAATGTACATTTAAGAAAAATCACCCGCCCCCCCCCCAAAAAAAAAGAGGAAGAAAAGTCACTCCCCAGCCCCCACCCCAGATAAACTGAAGTAGAATTTTTACATGAGAACCAGATCTGGCTACCAGAAATGTTAACAGTTACTCGGGTGACTTCAATGCAAAATGAATTGAAAAATCACTAGTTTATGACCAGGGTCACATACCTAGATACACACAAATAATGTAAATTAGAGCAGTACAATAAGAAAAAACAAGAGAGAAGGAGATGGTAGCTAGACAGGCACTTATGCCACTGAGCTATCTTCCCCAGCCAAGGAGATGGTAGCGAACCAACAGCACATGGCCTTGCTGTGAGCTCCAGCTACCTGCTGCCATCTAAGACTGGCACCCTTTTTGTGGTTGCCCTAATTTTCACATTTTAAAATTGGGTTGTGTCATACATGCTACAACACGGGTGGACCCTGAACACATTGTATTAGGTTTTTGTTTTTTTTTTTTTTTAAAGCCAAACACAAAGATCACATATTGGATAACTCCATTTAGAAGAAATGGTCAGAACAGGCGAATTCACCAAGACAGAGAGTGGATCACTGGTTCCCAGAGGCTGGGAGAAGAAAGAATAAGCGTGATGGCTTAATGGGTCCTGGGCTTCTTTCAGGATGATGAAAATATCCTGCAATTCAGTAGGAGTGGTTGCTAAACACTGTGAAACGTGAAGAGTCACAGAATTATACACTGCAAAATGGTGGATTTCATGCTATGTGGATTTTTCCTTAATAAAAGAGAAAAAGAAGTAAGGAGGCAGAAGTGTTAGGGAGGAGGCCTGAATTATTTGGACCAACTCGGAGCAAAACAAATGCCTTTTATGGCAGCCAGAATGTACCCTACTGTGTAATAACACACAGCAGAAAAAACGGTCTACAAACAGCACTGAATTTTTTAAACCAATCTAAGGCAGTAATGTATGTCGCCACATCCTTTTATGTCTGCATCCAAACTAGCAACAAAGCTACGCTGGCTGCACCCTTTCATCTGAACACAGACACAACCTGAGGTTTTTTTCCTTCCTTAATAGGTGTTAATGCAGGCTGTACAGCTGAGAGTGCTCGTCTTCGCCAGCCTATAAATAGAATGCACCCCTGAGGTGCAAGAGAGCAGGCTGGCTGATGAAACCAGGGCTGGCGCCTTCTTTTTTCTTACTGTTCTTTACTGAGCCTAACAGAAGGGTAAACGGAACAAACAACAAAAAAACCCTAATAACAGTGTTCATTAATCACTCCTTTATCTACTGATTTTTTTTCCCCCTGAGAGATTCAGTTGCATTCACAGTCTGTATTTTTATAATCTCCTTCGGTAGGGTTTGTTCATCCTAATTAGCCACAGCTGGTTGAAATCTCAACTGTTTCTGTGCAGTGTGGACTATAGGAAAGACAGTGAGTGAGGAGCAGTCCTTCAAGGAGAGTTGGGTATTTCAGGGGCCTGAGAATACACTTTGGAGGGCAACAGTTCTTAGCATTCCTTCCAAATCCTACCTTCCTTCTGGTAAAGTGAAATATTATTAAAAAGAGACAGAATTTTCCATTATCACCTAAGCTTCTGAATATTGGGCCATTTTGCAGATTTGTATGAAAACGAGAAACGCATCATGGTACTGCACACCAGCAGCAGAGTCTTCTCTTACCTGAATTCTTCACAGTAGTCATTCCTGATATGTGCAGCTAGAGTCTTGCTGTGCTGCAGGCAGCTCCTGAGGATGTAAAGCTGCTGGTACAACAGAACTGCTTGGCAGGGGCTGAGCAGCTGAAAGGGGGCTGAGAGCCCCTTCACCACTTGGTTCACAATACTGGCCACAAATGTAACCTAGACAAGGAAAATGCGATTGGACGTAAGCTGCATGTGTCCACAAGAGCCCCTGCATCAGCCAGAGCCTCGCCACCTTATAGCGATGCCACCATGCTACTTCCCATTGAAAGAGGGTGGGCCAGACTATATCAACTGGGGCCTAAGTCTTTAACTTTGTCAGTGCCTTGTAACCATGAAAAACAGTCAGAGGTACATGCCATGATCCTGACAGTTTCTTTGCTTGCAGAGATCTCTCTGATGGGTTGTGCCTGTGCTATTTAGAACTCAGGTATCATGGAAGGTTTCCAAGGTGGTCATGACCCCTTTGCCACCCTTCATCGAGACACATGCGTGGTCAACAGATGGCCTCATACTCAATTCAGTGCCTTGAGGAAACCAACTCTAGGGGTTTATAAAGGAACTTTCTTGTTTTTTAGAATCCCGGGACTCCAGATTTTCACCCATCAGTCATGATAGCACTAACAACCACACTGTAGAGTAAGTGGGCCTCCTGCACCTTGCTCATACAAGCTCTCATGGCTATGAGTGAAAATTCTGACACTTCTCAAAGTGGGCTTGACACTGGCTGGAGCCAGTGGAGCAAATAAACTGTCAGTGTTTAAAGAGCCAGGATCATGGGACTGTTCTTCGTAATAATGTAGTTGGCTCCTGTACTGCCTCGTGCACACTCTGGCCCCCACTACCTTTTCATGTCACAGGGATACAACAAAAGAATCTAAGTTCTCCAGAGCAATCAATATCACCCTGGACAAACAACTCAAAGTAAGAAACTATGAATGGTCCACAGGAGCATGTTTATACATAGAAAGAAAACACATTACCTTAGGTCAAGTCTTTTATTTGCATGGAAATTTAGTTTGGATTACTTCCTTTTGAAGAAACTGTTAAATACACGAATGAATGAATGAATGAATGAATGAATGAATGAATGAATGAATGAATAAAAATAAATGTGGAAGGTGAGAAAAGATTAAGGGGTAAGGCTTTACTAGAGTTAATTCAACAGCTAATTTACTGAGCATTTATTATGTGCCTAGCACAACAGATACATTTCCTATCCTCATGGTACTTTCAGGGTATTAAAGACATTGTATCAGTCCTGATAGACTAGTTATGCTGCAATAACAACCTATGAAACAAGTACTTTGCATAAAACAGCAAAGGTTTAGTACTAGTTCACCTCATATGCCCCTCGGAAGTTACCAGGCCCCTGTTAATTGTAGGGGTCATCAGCTGGTAGAGTAGTCACCATGCAGGGGAAAACACAGACATATGCACTGGTTCCTACAGCTTCTTCCCAGAAGTGAAAATGCTGCTTGGGCTCCAATCTCATTGGTCAAATAAAAAACAGAGACCCATCTAATTTCAATGAGGGAAGTGCAGGGCTGTCATACTCCTGGGAAGAAAAAGAGCCAGATACCATGCGGCCACTAGTGGCTACTACAGAGCAGACTGCATAGTAATACAAAGATAAACTGTGGCCATGACAAGCCTTATGAAGAAAGAAGAGGACATTCTGCTCTGTATGCTGTGCCCCTGTGAAGGGGGCATCCGACCTAGTGAAAGGACTCAGTATGTCCCGCTCTGCCTCCTACCCCGGGAAGGGGCACTGAGAGCTGAAGAATGAGTTGGTGGTGTTAGTAGGAACGGAAAGGAGGAAACAGCAGTCCAGACAGAGGGAGGTTGGATGGTTTCTCCCAAATATTAAGTGTTAGAGGCTTATTTCCCAATGTAAGAGAGTTAGAGTTGATGCGTAAAGGGCTGGCCAAATAGCTCAGTGGATTAAAGCACCTGCAAACAGGTGCAGGGGCTAGGGGTTCGATCCCCGGGCCTTCCGTCCTGGCCTGATCTAGTAGTGAGACCCTGAACACCCTGTAGACCCTTCCTTTAAAAAATTTAAAAAATAATAATAAAAAAAGAGTTGATGCCTAATAAGAAGTGAGTGGGTTATGAAGGCTGTGCCTCATGGATAGATTTATCCAAATGGGTTCCCACTGGAGTGGCTTGTGTATTGTAAGAGAGAGTTTGTCCCCCTATGCCACCTAAACTCTCTGAACCACTGTCCCACAGCCACAGGACAGTGCAGCAAGAAGGCCCTCACCAGATACAGCCCTTTAATCTTGGAATTCCCGACCTCCTGAATCATGAGCTAAATAGATATCTTTATAAATTGCCCGGTCTTTGCAACCAGCACTCTGTGACAGATTATCAAAATAGGCTGGCACAATCTGAGCTTGCTACAGCAAGGAAGTCTGGCACTCCTGCTCTGTAAGATGGGCTGTTACACAGACTTAATGTAAAAAGCTTAAAAATTACCCAGTCTGTGGTACTTTGTTGTAATAGCCCAAGACAGACTATTGGCAAAGATCCTGTGATATTCCTTTTTTTTTTTTTTGGCAGAATTGGTGATTGAACTCAGGTCCTTGCACTTGCCAAGCAAGTGCTTATTCTACTGAGCCATCTCCCCGGCCCCTGAGATCCTGTGATAGAGCAACCTGGGTGGGGGAAAAGGCATGCCTGCCTGGCCAGGCAAGAGGGGACCAGGACAGCACCAGGACATGCAGGCTTTGAAGGCCACAGTGAGGAGCTGAGTCTGTTCAAAGAGAAAAGCTGTTGAGGCTTTAAAGCAAGGAATAACAATAAGATTTTTATTTTAAATACCTTCCTCTGGCTGTAATATGATAGGAAAACAGAGACAGAACTTTGGGATGCCAGGCAGCATCAAGGAGAGGGATGGCACAGCATAGGGCAGGAGGTTCTTGCCCAGCCCAAGTGCACATGGGATCCTACATGTTCCGTCCTTACTCAGTTTTGAAGGTAAATATTTTTATCTTTTTTACTTAATTATAAACCCAATAATATTTTGATTTTTTCTTATAACAATCACATTTAAGATATCACTTTAATACCTTAAACATTCAAATTGCAATTGTAAAAACATTTTATTTTAATTAAGTAATAAAATTATCAAACTTATATCCTGTGTTTCTTTTACAAGCTTCACTATCTCATAAAGAAAATTTGTTAATTAAACGCAATAGGGACCAGGAATAGAGCTCAGTGGTACAAGCCTGTCCGGCAAGTGCAAGGTCCTCAGTTTGATTCCTGGTACCCAAACAAACAAAAAACACAACATCTGGTTAATTAGACTTGAACAGTGAATTTGTTTTACTAAGAAGTACTTACTATGGGAGGACATCTTTGTAAAAAGGACATCATCCAGCTAATAGCAAATGTTGACCCCAATCCAAGATTTCCCTAAAAGCACAAGGCGACAGACAAGTTATACTCATGACATTTAATCAGCGTGTAAAAATATATTCATACCCAAAAACATTTTTATCCTGATTAATCAAATCTTTAAAGTCAGTACTTATAAAATAAACTAAATGAATACTCAAGAGGAAAGATAGTATTTAAATCAACCACTTCTGGAGACCATCTCTTGTACATTCTTGGCATACTGTTAATCATAACATGTATATAAACACATAAGACATAATAAAAAACATGTACCTGCTGAAAGACAAGAAGTATCTCATATAAAAGTGCTGTCGCTTTATCTGTATATTCCAGGATAAGCTTCTGTAACTAGAATTTCCAAGAATAATCAATACAATATCATAGGCTGAGCCAGAAAGTACTGTTTCCCTTGGTTCCCTTTAGATACTTACAAAAGAATTTTTATTAACTTTATTTATTTACTTAACAAATATATATCAAACACTGTGATGAGTGTTGACTAGGCAATGGAGAACAACATAGACATGATCATTACCCTCATTGACTATAAAATCTGGTTGACAAACAGCTATCAGTCTAACAAATAAGGACCAGTGAGATAGCTCAACAGACTAAGTGCCTGCTAGCCCCACCCCCACCTCCAGGCACACTGAACTAGCCACCGAGACCAGGCGTGGTGGCGCACGCCTGTAATCCCAGTGCTGGAGAGGCTGAAAGCAGGAGGATCACTAGAGTCCAAGCTGTATAGTGAGATCCTGTACCAAATACATAAGTTAAAAAAAATCTAGCAAGTAAATAAGGCATAATTGTAAACAAAATCCAAGGCTATGGAAGAAAAGTATCCTATCTCCTCCCCCACCTACATGACTGCACTGACTCATTGCTGCACTGCCTGTACAAGTCTTGTTTGTAGCTACCTCTAATACTCCTTGACATGAAAGTGTACTGCCGACACTCCACGTAGACTGTCATGATGCTTCCACACACAGCTCTATCATTTGTCCCTCTCAGAGTTTATAAACTGGTGTTGTCGGAGATTGGATCTGCTTTGCTTATTGTTTAGACTCTTTACCTAGCACACTGTTTGCTCATAATAGATTGTAATAAATAATTAACTGGGTGAGTGAAAGGATTTTCTAAACTATAATTCCAATTGTATGTTTAAGAATAATCAGTTGTGTCCATTCCATTAAAAAGTGTCTGTTGACTTCATGCAAATAAATGAATAAGATAGTTTATCCTCTTTACTACCTGTGTTTTCTAGGCCACTTGATATTTCTAATGCTTTAATTCAACCTTAGGAAAAACTCTGAGTATTTGTACTACTCATATAAGTAGAGAGATGGTAAATTAAAGCCTACAAATTAATCTTAAAATTTCTTTTTTATGTATTTAGTACAGAGTCTACAAGGTCTCATTACATGGCTCATCCTCCTAGTGATCCTCCTATTTTCAGCCCCCCAAGTGCTGGGATGTGCCACCATGCCCAGTCTTAATCGTTTCTCAGCATGCCCCAGGGGTGGGGCCAGCATGGCACGCTGGGGATCAAATCCACACTTTAATCTGTTGAGCTATCTGGCCGGCCCGAATCCTAAAATTTCTAAGATGAGGCTCTTTTGTCCTTAATAATTACATGCATATTAATATTGCATGTAAAGATAATTAGGTTTATATAATTTATAAAGAACACTTTATTAACACATATACCTTAAAACAAATAAGATAGATATATTCATATTGACATAAAAACTAAGATTTTAATAACAAAATACCTAGTTTTGTCAGGGATTGATAGTCTACCTAGGTATCAATCACCTTGAACAAGCCAGGAAAAGTCATTATCCCAACCCTTAAGGAAGAGCCCCTTCTATATTCATGCCCACCTGCTCAATAGCTCACTTTCCCATTTGATCCCGATTTAATCAATTTTATCTGAGTCACTGTGCTTGCAATCTGATTGGTGGACCATAGTTTTGTCCCCTTTCATGCCCATCTTGTGAGTTTCCCTGTTTCCTGCCTTAGACTTGCCTCACCTCGTGGTTTTGATCTATAAAAATCCCTAAAAAAGGCAGGGTCTTTGGCAACCCACTCAAGTCCCCTTTGGTCCCTTTCTCAGACTAAAGCTTTTTCTCCCAATAAATATATTCTTCTCTGTAAAACAAAACAAAACAAAACAAAACAAAACAAAATCTAACCTTTTATTTAAGCATATTCCTGTATTCTATATCATCATAATCTACATAATCTACATGAAAGTGACCACTGTCCATATGCATTATATGCTATCTGCCTCCCAAATTTGCATCTTACCTTAGCATCAAAAGACATTTCAACTGAAGTTGAATCAGCCTCCAAATGGATATCAAACGTAGGGCATGATTTTGGAATCTGAGGTTTGCTAATTAAAATTACCAAGAGATCAAATAGTGTTCCC